ATAGGGCAACATTTGTAGTAACTGTTAAATGAGAAACTATTTTGTTCTGTAAGCCTTCATCTTAAGTGAGAATAACAGCACAATTGGAAGAGCGCAGTCAATGTCACTGAAATTTTTGAAACTGTGTATCTTTGGCTATGTGTATTTTCACCAAAAAAAAAAAGTTGAGAATTTAGAGGGTTAATATGTTGTGGGGCTGTTAACCAATGTCATAAAACAACATGTGTACTACTGTTTCATGAGAAACTATTTGTTCTGTAAGCCTTTACCTGAAGTACAATAAAATATTTTAAAAAAATAAAAATAAAAAAACAAACAGACCAGAGTTACTCATCTGAAAGAGACTGGAGGAACTTCGAGACTATTGCCCTAAGAAAACCTTCTAACTTGAAACTGAAGACACTCTCAGAGGCCACCTTTCAGCCAAATAATAGATGGGGCTATAAAATAAACAGTAACACCAGTGAAGCGTGTGCTCCTTAGAACAGTCAACTATATGAGACCAAAAGGGCAACATTTGCCCAAAATCAAAGATGAGAAGGCAGGGAGGGACAGGGAAACTGGACTAATAGAAACAGGGAACCCAGGGAGGAAATGGGGAGAGTGCTGATATGTGGGGATTGCAAACAATGTCACAGAACAATTTGTATAAGAATCATTGATTGGAAAATTAATTTGCTACATAAACTTTCACCTAAAGCACAATAATATGTTTAAAAAAAAAAAAAAGAAATAAGGCTTTCTTTCAGGGCACAAGTAGTCACTTTCAAGTCTTTTATAGGATGCTTGAGCTGTGATTCTGAAGCCCTGAGCTCATCTCTTTCTTTCACCACTTTGTCTAGGGTAAGTAGGACCAACCAACCAGCTTCCTTATACTTCTCATTCTGACAAAATTGTAGAAAAGTATTCAATATGCAGTCACCCAAAGCCTTCTTTCTCACAAATATTTGACCTATTCGTGGTGATATTTTGCTTACTTCTATTGCCACTTCACACCACGGATTAGCAGTGTCCTCTTTACTACTGGAGGCAGTCATCAGCACCTTTAAGGCTAACCAGATTTGAGAACCAATTTAGAAAACTCATCTTTACAATTTTGTTTCTCTAGAACCACTCCTGGTGCTAAATGTCTTAGGCTGAGTTCTCTAGAGAAGCAAAACCAATGAAGCATATATACAGAGAGACTTTACATATAGAGAGAGATTTTATATATATATATATA